ACTATACTATAAATTGACAGTGATCAAAACAGCATGGTACTGGCACAAACAGAAAGGTAGATGTATTGAACAGAATTGAGAACCAAGAGATGAATCCCGCTATTTACCATCATTTGATCTTCCCAATCAAAAACATTCAGTGGGGAAAAGACTCCCTATTTAAAAAATGGTGGTGGGTGAACTGGCTGGCAACCTGCAGAAGACTGAAATTGGACCCACATTTTCATCATTAACAGAGATAGATAAAAAGATGATAGGATTGTATATCTGGAAAAAAGATAAAAAATTCTCACTGGATAAAAGATTTAAACTTAAGAGATGAAACTATAAAAATACTAGAAGAAAGTGGAGTTAAAACACTTGAAGAAATTGGCCTGAGAGAATACTTTATGACCTATGGGGCAATTGAAGCAACACCAAAAATACGTTACTGGGATCTGATCAAACTAAAAAGCTTCTGCACAGCCAAGAACACAGTACATAAAGCAAGCAAACAGCCCTCAGAATGGGAAAAGATATTTGCAGGTTATGTCTCAGACAAAGGTTTAATAGCCAGAATCCACAGAGAGCTCAAATGTATTAGCAAGAAAAGAACAAGTGATCCCATCTCAGTGTGGGCAAGGGACTTGAATAGAAACTTCTCTGAAGAGGACAGGTGCACTGCCTACAGACATATGAAAAAATGTTCATCATCTTTAATCATCAGAGAAATGCAAATCAAAACCACTTGGAGATATCATCTAACTCCAGTAAGATTAGCCCACATCACAAAATCCTAAAACCATAGATGTTGGTGTGGATGTGTGTTGACTTATTCACTGATGGTAGGAGTGCAAACTAATATGGTCTTTTGGAAGAGATGTTTGGAAATCACTTAGGGATCGAAAAATAGATCTGCCATTCAATCCTTCAATTCCTCTACTAGGTATATATCCAGAAGACTAAAAATCACTTTATGACAAAGATATTTTGCCAGAGTTTTTATTGCAGCCCAATTCATAATTGCTAAGTCATGGAAGAAGCCCAAGTGCCCATCGACCCATGAATGGATTAATAAATTGTGGTATATGTACACCATGGAATATTATGCAGCATTAAAAAAAGATGGAGACTTTACCTCTTCTATGTTTACATGGATAGAGCTGGAACATATTCTTCTTAGCAAAGTATCTCAAGAATGGAAGAGAAAGTATCCTATCCAATAGTAGTACTGAGCCCTACTATGGAAGAGAAAGTATCCTATCCATAGTAGTACCAAGCCCTACTATGAAACCAATTTATAAACACCCACACTTCCATATGAAAGCTATAACCAAACTACAGCCCAAGATGAAGGGGAAAGAGGAGGGGGAGAGGAGGGGGAAGGATGGGTAGAGGGAGGGTAATTGGTGGGACCCCACCTATGATGTGTTTTACAAGGGTACATGTTAAATCTACTAAGTGTGGAGTATAAATGTCTTAACACAATAACTAAGAAAATGTGGTGAAGGCTACGTTAACCAGTTTCCTGAAAGTATTTCAAATTGTATATAAAACCAACACATTGTACCCCATGATTGCATTAATGTACAGAGCTATGATTTAATAAAAAATAAGTAAATAAATAAAAGAATCTATTCCTCTGGGAGCTTAGCATGCAGTTCCTGGGCCTTAGTCTGGCCTGCACACCCTATGAGCACACCAAGTGATTCTTACACATGTTGAAATTGGAGAGTACCAATATATGGCAGAAAACCAAGTTCTTCTAGAACTATATATTATTAGATTCTGGTATGTAAAGACCACTAGATATGGTTCTTCTATGATACACAGCATTAGGAGTTTGGTGTGTCTCAAATGCTTGCTATTAAATAAAGTTTCAGATGGTATTCTGAAAAGGTGTTTATATCATCTTGGAAGCTAAGGGAAAATAAGAAATAAAAAATCCGAGTCAGCAATACAGTGAAGTCATGGGTGAATTCAGAACTTAAAGATGTAGGTGTGAAGTCGTGTGCAATTATCACTCACTGGGCCTTGAACTTTCTGGCAGCCAACACAAAAGGGAATCCCAGGAGTCACCACGTCCATGAAGTGAAAGCAAGTCAGGCACTCAGAATAAGCTCACATACTTCCTGTCATGAGCCCTGAACTTCTCTTGAGGAAGACAATGTGTAAAACAGTGCCTGTCAGACACATCTGCACAGCTGAGCTAGTGGCACTCAAAAAGCTGCTTCTTACAGCATCTCAAAAGTGTGGGCTTAAAATGGATTTCAGTAAAAGCAACTTACATTGATAAGAACGCTGCCAAACAGAGGGTTATTAAATTATTTTTGGAGCTTTAAACATATACTCCACATGCTATATGAGGCACTAAAATGATTTTGCTTTTATTAAATCATTATGTAAAAGAGGGACAGAGTTTAATTCTTGAATTCTAGTTTAGAACCCAGCCCCCAAAAGGCCAGGATGTTATTTTTAAATCCTATGATTCAAATAGAAATATATTATGAGAGTCTCACTTATGAGGATATACTTGAAAACCCAGAAAGTAAGTAAAACTATCCCCTAAGGAGTTGAAGTCCTCTGACTGTGAGAGAATAATTCAGGCTTACTGCCCACAGCAGCCTCTCTGTCCCCACCCAGATGCCTGGTGCTTACTTCACAACCTGGACCCTGCACTCTTAGCTTCTTGACTGCTCAGTGCTGAAGTAGATTAGATGCTGGGAACCAGGAATGAGAGAAAGGCATCCACTGTCAGCAGTTAGAGCAGAGGCCCCAGCCCAAGGCATGTAACTTTGAAATCTGCACTACTGGGAGGGAGAAGGGAGGAGGGAATGGGTGGAGGGAGGGGGTTTGGAGGGATCACTTCTGAGGTTTATCTTACAGGGGTACAGGTGAATCTTTCTAAGAGTAGAATGTGAACGTTTTAAAGCAATAACTGAGAAAATGACATGAAGGCTGTGTTGACCAGTTTGATGGAAGTATTTCAGATTGCATGTGAAAACCCCACACTGTACCCCAGAAGTGCATTAATGTACATAGTTACCATTCAATAAAAAAAAAAAGTAAAAAAAAAAAAAGAAAGAAATCTGCACTACTAACGGCAAATATTAATCTCAAAAGCCAAAGCAATCTGGGGTCATTTATAACAGAGACAGATGACCCAATGACCTTGAACAGTTACTAAGTGTCCTATCAAGCATTTACCCTGGTACAGTCATTCACCTTTGTCTGCTGAACCCAGTCCATCAAGATGTTAGAGTGATTCATATTCTTCTAGGAGGTGAGATAGCTGTAAAGACTATAGAAGAAGCACTTCTATTCCAAGTAGTTTATTAAAAATTTTTTAGCAATTTAAGAGACCTCTACCTTCTGCAGTGTAGAAAACCCAGGTAGCATTTCTAAATGGCCAATATTTTCCTGGAAAGGTCTTCAAAATACATGAACTGAAGCCTCTCTGGAGAGATTCTTAACATTGATTTCTGTTTGTTTCATTTAAAAAAAAATTTTATCCCTGGAGTAACCAAAGTGAGAAGTTGAAATTTTTTCTTCTCTTGAAAAAGCTGAAATCTAACAATTATTTTAATTGTTGAACGAATTTTCTAGAGTGATTGCAGTTTTCCTTGAAACCTGGGGTTCTCCTGGCCCTCAGCTTTAGCTGGGCATTCTCTCTTGGGGCCTCTGTCAATGGGGCTGGCTCCCTTGGGTCCCCAGCAAGGGTGCATGTGGGGGTGGACAGCCTTCAGTCAGGAGAACTTACCGCTTTTATTCCTTTCCACTCTGGGTAAGAGTTCACTTAAAGAAGTGGTTCTGCAGTTACTAAATGAAAAAGAAAGAAGAAAACCCATAGTACTGTGTTACAAGACTGTACAATTGATGACTCTTGAAAAGATTCCAGAATCATACCAGCAATGAAGCCAGTAACTGGCTAGTTCTTCTATTCATTGTGAAATAATTTCTTCATGTTCTCTTGATGTCATCTCTAAAATAAACATTTTTTACCTTTAACTGAAAGTGTTGTAACACCTGGATGGAATGAATTGCCCTCTCACCTGTATTCTTATCACAATACTCATTGCATAACTAGATGGCCTCCTCTAGTAGTGGTGGTGTCTGGGCCTACACAGTTAGTGGGCACTCCCAGCATGGTCACAAGGCTTCCTCAGGACTGTCAGTGAGTCTGTTCTTCCACAAGTCTTGGTTTGACTGGTGTTTCCTCTCTAGTTGGTGGAAGGCCACCCACAGGTCGGAGCCATGCAGCATCTGTTCCTGTTCCCTCCAGGAGTGAGCAAGGGCCCTTCAGTACCAGTGAGCTGGAATGTTCCAGCCACAGTGGAGACTGGCAGGCAGGCTTCTGTGACTGCAGTAATGTACAACAGCTCTCTACCTGAGCTCAGACTACCCCTATGCAGGGCACTCTCTGGAGGCATAATAATTATTTTGGCCATTTTCCAGGACTGACTTACTAAAGTAGAATTGCAATATGCATTTCTAATTATGTATTAAGAGAATATGACACTACAATATTTGGACAGTAACCCCTCCCAAAAGATCTTTAACCTTACCTCCTAACCCAACTGTGTTCCTTTCTGCATATTCCCTTTCAGTACCATCTTTATATATTTATGCTGCATGGTTTGTACATTTTCAGTTTCAGTCACTATTGAAAGTTTCCCACATCATACACACTCATCTTTTAAATCAGCAGTGTTAACAGGTGCTCTTGGCATCAGACAGGTAAAACTATGATTCATATTAACATATCTTTCTAGTGTGCACTTTTAAGCATCAAATGTATTAGTAATAGCTAAGCCTGCTTTGTTATTGCTTAAGGAAATGGCAGAGAAAACTAAGACAGAGATATATCAAAATGTGGACGATGAAATGAAGAGAGAACACTTGGCTGCAGAACAACGCATGGTCCATAGAATACAGAGAATTATGATGGAGTGCCACAGGGAGAAGGTTGAGGCCGTAAAGAACGCCAGAGCTGAGGAGAGAAGGATTGCCGGGGAAGCAATCCAGGCCCAGAAAAGGTATTACAGGCAGCACCTGTGGCTCAGTGGGTAGGGCGCCGGCCCCATATACTGAGGGTGGCGGGTTCAAACCCAGCCCCAGCCAAACAGCAACAAAAAAGTAGCCAGGTGTTGTGGCAGGCGCCTATAGTCCCAGCTACTCGGGAGGCTGAGGCAAGAGAGAATTGCCTAAGTGCAGGAGTTGGAGGTTGCCGTGAGCTGTGAAGACATGGCACTCTACCAAGGGCAACAAAGTGAGACTGTCGAAAAATAGAAAGAAAGAAAGAAAGAAAGAAAGAAAGAAAGAAAGAAAGAAAGAAAGAAAGAAAGAAAGAAAGAGGGAAAAGAAAAGAAAAGGTATTACAGAAAACACACATGCAGACCACATCTCACTCTCCATCACAGTTAGCCTGGGAGGCGGGGTTAAGGTGCATAGGTGGAATTGTCCAGTTTTTCCAGTTTTACATTTTTGTTATGAAATTTACCAAACCTAGAGAATAAATACATAACATATTGGCGGGGAGAGGTTTAAAGAAAAACAGTAGCCTAAACACTGAAGGACTGTGCCCAGCTTAGGGGGTTGAGGAAGTCAGTGCTGCTTCGGCTGTAGTGTTCACCCCCAGTCCAGTCTCCTTCTCCCCTCTCAGGAGAGAATTTCCCTTCTGAAGATTGTGTTTTTCATCCCCTGCCACCTGTTTTTAAGAGTTTGAGGAAAAAAACATTTTCCCATAAACACATACAAGTCCAGAATATTCTCTAATCTAGGTCACACACTGTGAAGGATATGTTAGTTCTTGGTCTTTTTTCTAAGTACATAAGTAATACATGTTGCAAAAGAAATTGACATTATGGAAATAATATGGTGTAAGAATGGCAAGTCCTGATTCATTTCTCCCCAACTACTGGGCTCCTGGGGATAAGCATTGTAAAAACAGAGTCTGCATCTTTCCACATCTTTTTGATGCATTCCAGCCATGGGTATGTGCAGAATCACTTATCATTTGTTATGTAAATCAGATCACCCATATATTGATTTTCAGAATTCCAAGGTAACAATTTTCATGTATGTTATGAACATTTGATGAAAGGACAGCAGTCAGGAGCCCAGGATTGTCAAGTGCAAGAGAAAACCACAATTTCCAAATGTAGAGACACCTGCCCAAGACCACAGAGCTGTGGCCACTGAGACCATGGCCTCCATAGTCACCTCCTGGTCTGTGGCTGCTCTTTTTGCTTTGCTGCTTGAGTTAACAAATGGGTCCATTGTATATAATTAAAAAGTCAAATTTTTCTTGTTAGAAATGTTTAAAACTGACCTGGGCCGAAAGTAAAATAAAGAGGAGGCACACAGAAGTGAGAG